GCAGTAACAAAGGGCCAGTTTATCCAACTTACGGAAAAACTTTTCTCAAATAACTTTAGTGGTATGTAGCCATGAAGACAGTTTTCCAGGTTTGGGGGACAGAATGGGATTTTGGTTTTGGACTTTTTCCAGAAATCCCATTATTCTGAAAGTTTGAAATACAGTACTTTATACTGTTCTTTCTACAATTGTGAGTATGTTCTGTGGATTTTTCGGAGTAATAGACATTATCTGTGAAAAAAGAGGCTGCTGATTTTTTTAAATTGTAAACGTTCAGTGTTGTGAGCACTATAAAGTAGATGGGATTAAAAAGAGAGATAAAACCTGATCAAATAAAATCAAAGCTATCTTAAGAGTTAAGTGAGAAAATATGTCTCTAAGTAATTAGGGTGAGCTGACCCTTTAAATGTGCTACTGCATGTGTAAATAAATCATTACCAAATCCATTTTGGGACATTAGTGTAATTAGTTTAAAAACAACATTAGAAGCCTCTACGCCCTTTTCCTCTACCTTTTACCAGGAGAAGCAGTTTCTGCATTTCATGAGAAAATCAGTTGCGTTGCTTCTTGTTGCCATGAAAAATTTCTTTGTGCCCACGAAGCAAACAAAGATTTTTATTTCTCAAGTGCACTTCCACTTGCCTAGCTACATGATTCTCATCTTCCTGCCTCCTTGTCCACCTCAATTTCTCTGAATAGATCCCTCTCTCCTGTATTGCTCTGTTTCTCCATCACTCTCCAATCTTTTATCCAGGAACAAAACATGGGACTTTTTTCCACTTGTGTGGTGGTGTCAGCTGCCTTGGATACAGCTGCACTGATGTGGTGTTTTTCCATTGTGAACCACACACCCACATGCACTTACACATACAAACACAGCTTCCCTGAAGAATTGGATTGGCAAGGAGCTCATTACTGACCTTATTTCTCCAGGTTTGGTTAAGACACTATTTCCTATTATTTCTTATTTTGACTGATAAAAAAATAGTTTGGGTGTCTCCTCTGTCTATGTGTGCATTCATGTGTGGCCTTCATGCTCTAGTTGAATATGAATAAATAATATGTTGTCTAACAATGTCTGGCACCAGTGGTCATGTTGCAATGTGTCATAAGGCAACATAGGTTCACTATTGTAAGCTGTATAATCCATTTTTACTAAAACGACAACAATCTCAAATAACATAACTTAGCTTGATTTAATATTTTGACTATTTTTGCATGTATGGTGAACGTCCACAGCATTTGCCTATTCACAAGACTAAATCATTTCAAAAATAAATAAAAATAAAAATATGCTCAGTAGCAAAGAGCATGCATATGTACATTTGTTGGATTCTCTAGACGTTTAAACAGAGTTTTAATTACATGTCATTATGTGTCCCAGGATTGTAGGACATTTAAAAAGCCCACTAGTTGTAGCAATTAATTTGACACACACTCAAGGTAAATTATAAAGGGGAGAAAATCCCTTTGATGTCCCTCAGCCCAGGATCTGTCTTGTCACGATAACGAGTGCTCATTTAGAAAGAGGAACTGTCAAAACACTTGCATTTTTACCTTTATTCTGCTTGAGACACATTTTTTCTGTTTTGAATATACATATACAACTAGATCTCTATATACCAAATTGAAGATGTTAAAGACATGTTAATATGTTCTGTAATTTATAGTGACAAATACGTTTATTGAAATTAAGCCCATATTGTCCCAATTGATCATTTAGAATAATCCCAGAGCAGTTGTTTGAGCAGACATCATTATTATCTCATCAGGTTGGTGGTCAGATTACACTGATGACACTTAGACAGCTGCAGCAAAGCCGACACGGTTGTTGGTGCGGTCGTAGATGGAGTAGTACTCTCTGAGGAAGACATCTCCAAAGATCCACAGGGGCTGGCCATTACGAGAGGGCAGGTAGGTGGGGTAGATGTCCACTAAGCAATACTGGTATCCATTCTGGTATTGCTGGAGGTACAGAAAGGAGATTGGATTTATCACTGTACACAGGCTCACAAATAAAAAAACATGTCATGCACATAAAGGGACACACACAAATACATTCTTATGCAATGCATGCATGTAGTAACTTACCTGTTTAATGTAAGCAGAAGGAGGCAGAGGGAGGGCAACACCACTGATAACAAAGCTGAGAGTTGGCAAGTTGTTAACCTGGCTGCAGTCCACCATATACTGGAGATCAAGACAATAAAGAGACACTGCTTTAGAGGGACAGAAACTCGAAACAAACTGGTCGAGTTTGTACATCGTTCCATTACATTCCTGCTTTTGATATACTACCTGTACATGTTCTGTGACCTTGCACATAATGACTATTAAATGATGCAGCCTATGGACAGAGTTGGATCTTTATGAGGAATAACAATGGTGGCCTACTTCCATACTGCTGAGCAGCAGATCTGTGTGTGTGAGATTGTCTCTGTCTGTCTGTCTGTCTGTCTGTCTTACCGCTCCATACTGGCTCTGTTGGGCTCCAATGGCTTGCATGATGGTACCCAGAATCTGGTTTGGGGCGGTCAGTGAGGAGGTTCCAGTGTCAACAACGGACTGGCAGCCCTGAGAGCACAAGCCGGTCTCTTGACCATTGATCTGGAATCTGAAAGCAACCACACATGCCAAAAGTTAGCTTTGCTTGACGCAATATTAGGACACAAAACAATCGCTAATGTAGGCTGCTATACTCAATAGTAATCAGAAGATTATTTGACATTTCATGTTGATAAAAAGTGCACACCCTTCAACGCCAATCTGCCAGTAGGTCTCAGAGGTGACAGGAGTCCAGTAGATCTGCCCCTGGTACAAGCTGTTGTCCACTTCTCCAAAAGTGAGCACACTGCCCTGCTGTCCATTCCTAAACCAGACAACAAACAAAAATTTAGCTGCAAGCTCCCCATGTTAGAAGATATGTTTAGTGTCAGTAGTGTGGATATACAGTAACATCTGATGTCCTAAATGTATGTTTTACAGTACTTAATAGAAGTGTCAGTTATACCTGGAAAGATAGAAAGCGAAGATGTTGGCACTTAGAAGGTTTTGAGACATCATGCTGTCCATGACTGGAGTCTCTCCTCCAGCTGAGATGCTTGGGTAGGACAGGCCGAGGATGCCGTCAAACTTGGCCACAACAAAGTTCTGACCAGGCTCGTTTGTGCTCAGACCAATCTCTTGGTTAGGGATCACAATGCCGGCAACCTATGAGTCCAAAACCAACCAATATGATGAGTACGTGATGACAGCAATATCACAGTTTCAAATTATTAAAATTATTCTTCTAATTCTAAATTTTTGTAACATTGAAAATATCTTTTGTATAAAAAAACATGTTTCCTTTTATCTTCACAAATTCAACACCTCATACACATAAAACAGGGATGTTTTTACTGAGACATCACTTGTTGAGGTCATACGGAAAATGTACTCTGTCTCAGTACATATGACTCAGTTCAGACTCGAACACTTTATTTAGCTGAATTATTTGGTTTATTTGGTGTATCTGACTCACAGTGACAGTGTCATATCCAAAGGTTCCATAGAGGCTTCCAGCTCCGTAGGGCAGGTAGAAGGTCTGTCCATTGGCACTGAAGGTGGAGGACTGCTGGGGATTGAACTTTGTGTGTGTGTCTGCAAATAGCATAGATTGGGATTATCTCTGGAGCCATTTCTATAAACATGTCTTTATTCCTTGCAGAGCCATTTGACATACTGATAATTCACCTAATTAAAGAAATCATGAGCTGAATTTTAACTGACCCACTAGCTCATGTACCCCGAAGACTCAAAATGCTTAGTAATTACACGAGAACTTTAAATCCCATGTATGTACAATATATAATCTCTTGGAAACAAGATGACAAACTGCTAGTTCTGCATGCTTAGCTTACATCAGGTTTAAGTCTGTGGAGAAGTTGTCTGAAGAAAGCGACAGATGAGGGATTTTGTAGTGTAAAGCCTGTTGGTTTGTACTCACTGCAGGCCTGAGTGTTACAGTAGACGGAGTCCACCCACAGGTTGGCAGAGCCGGTGTCAAACAGCACCTGGAAGGACTGGGGGGGTGTTCCAATGCTGATGGGTCCATAGTAGGTGGTCTGGGAAACACATTGGTTGGAGATAAAGAAAAAGAGGAAAATAATAAAGAAAGTACAAACCCATCAATTAATGCTTACATGCTGTTGTGTAGAGCATGTAAAAGTAGTGTTAATATAGGATTTCTTACATCAGCATAGTTATTGATGTACATGCTGGCAGAGGTGGCGAAGTCATCTGGGTAGTATTTCAGAGCTGGGTCCTGGTGAGGCAGCTCAATCCCCTTCTCTCTCAGGGCCTCACGCATAGACTTGTGCTTCGTCAGAGGGACCCTGAGGAAGTAGTAAGCAAAAGCACAAAGAATTTTTACTTCCAATGGCTTGAAAGTATACTTTCAAAAGTACAATTTTGCTATCGGATAAAAAGAATTGACAGTTACAAAGAGATAGTTTTCTTACTTGAATCCCTCTGCGAGCACCACACAGACCAAAACAGCAACAAGACACTTCATGATCCCTCCTGTACACACAGCCCTCCTGGATGGATACAACTCAGCTTGGATCTGAACAGGCTTTATATACACATGTTTAGGCTCATATCAGCCAGACTGTTATCAAAAATACAGTCATATCACTTCAGACAGGGTGACCCTTAGAGTCTTGTTCTTAGAAGCTACGTACTTAATTTGCACATCTATCATTAATTCAATATACACTGCCTATAATAGACACAGTTTGCAAACATAGCCAAACACCTTATAACATATTATGAAACAATGATATAATAGGAAGTTATACAGTTGGGTATATCCGATGGATATATCTGGTGAGACTGAATAAGTCATCTGGGTTGTTCAATTTGGAACTTTACTTGAAGTCCTTTTTAATTTTAATTAAATTTAATTAAATTAAATTGAATTGAATTTTTTAATTTAATTTAATTGACAATACATACAGATACATATTGCTACTTCTACATTAAAAATATATTTTTCCCCTTATGTTTTAAGAAATTGATGCAGACTGCAGAGCTATGGCTTTGAGTCTGGATTATGAATTGTATTTATATCAAATTGCTATTCAAGCTTTCTGTTGTTTTCCCCCAAAACTGTCTGCATTTTGTTGGCAATCCTCAACATGCAACTTTAGTAAATTTTTATCCGATTAGATATACATATCAACAGCAAGGTCAAGATTAATAGTTGGTCTCCAACTGTAATTTTCCGCAAATGGAAAATGGATGTGTTATATCTAGGCTTCAGTATCAGTAGCACCTTAACTACACAATTTTATCAAAACCTTTAATGCGGCTCAGCTTATCATAACTTTTAATATTGTTTGAATTTTTTCCACTGATAAAATTGGATCAATTTACACTGGTTGTACATTAACACTCATTAAAATGACTTTTTCATGAACCCTTTTTGTTTTGCTTTTAGATGCATCAGCATGTCCTTATTTGCTCCATGGGACCAATGACATTGTGTAGACAGGACCCTATATGACTGTGTTATGTAAGCTCGCATCCATACGTAATATGTGGAGTGTCCTTTTCTTAGTAGGAAAACTGCAATGCAGTATTTCCTTTAACACATTGCAAGCCAACTGCTATACAAATGAGAGCCTGAGAGCTGAAACTAATGGGGCAAAGATGAGATAGAGCCTAATCAAGAGAACTTGTAATGCCACGGCTCATTGCAGACATATACGCTCCCCTGCTGTAGTGTGCTGTTGATGTAAATAGAAGTTCAGAAACTTTGGTGTAACAGGGAACTTCCAATAGCTCACCTCTGACTCTGCTTATAACATCCAAAGCTCATGATTAAAATATATTTAAAATGTTGGCATTTTATCTCAGTTCTTTATGTGTTGCTGTTGTTATTCCGTACCACTGAAATGTGTCACACCTTGTCAGTGTGGACTGTTATAAGGGAAAAGAAAACGTGGGTGGATGTGGGTGTTTGTGTTTGCATGTGTCCAGTGTATACAGTAAGACTGAGACCCAGATAGACCGTGACAGGCCATGAGTTAGAGCAGGTTTCCCCAAGAACAAGCCTCAGTGTGTGGGCATAAATCAATGAGAAAGTCCCCCCTTGACTGTCACTGATGATGAAACAGGCATATTTCAGAGATGAGTGCTCTTCCTCACAACATCCATCTCTCATGTTTTTCCAGACCAGCCCACGACATCAGCCTGGAGGAGTTCGATGATGAAGACCTCTCTGAAATCACAGATGACTGTGGGATTGGACTCAACTATGACTCTGATCCGTATGAGAAGGTGAGGCCATCCTTTGTTGTTATGTTGGTTTTTTAGTGAAATTTGACATTTCCTTGCATCTTTTGGGCTTTGTGTCTCGAAAATGTGAAAATGCAGCGACATGCAAACCTTGACTATTGTTTAACTTGTAAACCTTTTTGAATTATGTATATTTTTCTTTTATATATTATCTATATTTTTATAATCTATCTAATCTAATTTTCTAATGATTTCATAGACAAAGCAGCAGTCTGTTGTTGCTCCTCTATGGTTGCTTTGGCTGACAGCTTATTGTAGTTCATAAATGACAATCTGCAGGTAAAATAGCAAACTGAGTGACAAGAGAGAACCATCTCACTGAGACTGACCTGGTTCGTATAGCGATTTAGTCTTGAATTCTGCTTATTTCCATATGGCTATCTTATGTAAGCATCTCTGCAGCTCTGGATTTTTAAGAAGAAGAAGAAGATACACTTTATTGATCCCCTAGGGGGAAATTGTTCTTTTCACTCTTTTTTTTACACACACACACACGCTGCATGCACATGTGGACATGCAAAGGGAGTGAAGGCGCCCCTTCAACGTTACCGGGGCGCCCATAAGGCAGGTTTTTGGGTCCTAGGCTTGCCCGTGCCTCAAGGCGGCAGCCTCGGCATTGCACAGGAGGTGAAACTGGCAACCTTCTCCAGCTACCAGCCACATCCATATTTTGTGGTCTGTGGGACTTGAACCGGCCACCCTCCGGTTCCCAAGCCAAGTCCCTACACACTGAGCTACTGCCGCCCCAAAGGATTTGTAAAATTTAAATATGAAATTTTTGGCCACTCAAGGGCAGCAGAAAGAAGTTTCAAACACAGTTTTAGCCTTTTAATGGTTCTTGGACAAGGAACTTTTAGAAAATCCTTCTTATTAATGACACTTGGCTGTCAACTGAGCTGCAGTCAGCATCCAAACTTCATCCTGGGCATCAGCCAACAAAAGTGACATGACATACACAAGACTAATCGCTGAAATTGATACTGAATGTTGGAAAATCAATTATAATCATATTTAGAACAACGGATAGCCAGCCAGCTACAGTCAAGCCA